TTAGAACAAAAGGAAAGTGTACGGAGTATTTTAGAGGTGTACTTAATCGATCGCAAATGTCGTTTTGTGGATATATCTGCTTATCTCGACGTATTTTGCAGGAATTTTTAGCATGCGTTTTCTCGCTTCTGACGTCATTAAAAAGAGATGGATGATGCGACTCCCCAGGAGCCTTAAATAATAATTATTTATATTGATAAGAAATATAAATATATATTATCTTTCAGAAGCAATATTGTAAACAAAAAACAATAATAGTATTAGTAAGTAGATATTTTATTTATTATTTCTATATTAATTTAATAGTAATATTTTTTTGTTTTTAATTTTTACTAATCATTTTTTATCAATTTATATTGTATATGATATCAATATTGTACTAAAGGACAAATGGTAGAAAATAAAAGAAACAATGAATAAAGTAATGGAAGATAAAATAAATAAATGTTGACCTTGTCATGTGTGTATGTATGTGTGTGTGTAAATATGAAATACATAAAATTATACAGACACACAAAAAGAAATATATTCCATATATATTTTCTGTGGAAAAGGGCAAAATAAAATAGAGCATTATGTAAAAGAATGTGAGGAAGTAAGAGGGTGGTTTGAGAATTTAGAAAAAGTGTAGAGGAAAGATTAAATAAGCTATGGGACAATAGTTTAGATAACGAGAAATAAAGGATAATAATAAAGGTTATTAAACAAAGGTTGTGGAAGAAAAAAGAAAGGAGAAAGAATAAGGGAATAAAGTAAAATGTAAAAAGTATGAATATAAAATAGTACGAAAGAAAAAGAAAAGATAAAAGAAGAATAAGATAAAAATAGGAAGGTAGATATAAGAATTCAGATTAAATAGAAATAGATAAGAATAAGAATAGATAATAGGGATGAATAAGAGAAAGATGAGGGATACCAAAAGAAAATGTGTAATATATAAAATTAGGTAGTGAGCAAAAGTGGATATTTAAAAATGTAAAAAGGAAAGGTAATACGGTAAATGCAATAGCTGCGTTCGGCATTGTAAATCGAAGACATTAGATTGCTCTTTTACCTCGAAAATGCATGGAAGTGAGAGAGATATGAGATCTCGTATCTTTTTCAATTTTATGCACCTTTGAAATGAAAGAACAATCCGATGTCTTCGATTTACAATCTCGAACGCAGCTAATGTATGTATATAGATATACAGTATGTTTGATAAGAGCGTGTACGGCAAAACTCAAAAACTTAGGATAATACATAAATTGAAAAAATTTATACACATTATGCATGATATAGACTGCGATGCTTTATTATTAATAAGTTGTCCAGTCGCCTCCATTATCAATAATTGACTGGCATCTCCGAGGCATACTTTCTACTAATTTTACAGCATAATCTTCAGACAAAGATCTCCATATAAATCGAATCTGTCGAATTAACTGCTTGACGGTCCATATTTTCTTTCCTCGGAGCTTAAACTTTATAAGCGCCCAAACATTTTCAATTGGATTTGCATCTGGCGACTGTGAAGGCCAATCCAGTACGTCAACGTCATTTTCTTGTTTCCACGCAGTACAAAGTCTACTCCGATGTTTCGGATCATTGTCCTCTTGCAGTAGCCAATTTTCATTTTTCCTCGTAAACCACCTTTGGGCAGATGGTAATAAAGCTCTCTCATATATTTGGACCATTTTAGCAGCATCCAAATTTTGTGTAAAGATGTGTAAAGTGCCAAATCCCTGTTTTGAGAAACAGCCCCAGACGTGCACCTTTACCGGATGTTTAACGGTCCGCTCGATGAGTCTATTGGCCTGGGTAGACCAGACACGTCTGATAGAAGATTTTGCCCAAAACAAAGCTTCATCTGAAAAAATTACGTTGCCCCAATAGCGGTCCAAATTTTCTTTTGCCCAAGCAAGTCTTTTTTCGACGTGTTTTTCAGACAGCAACGGTTTCGTTATCGTGCTTCGAAATTTCACTTTATGAGCCAGTAAACGTCTTCTTATAGTATGACATGATATATTTAGACCCTTTTTAAGTAAAACCGCTTGCCCGCCACGCAATGATAAACAAGGATTCTTCTCAAACACCCGTAAAATCATTTTGTCCTCCATTGTCATCGTTTTCTGCACAGAGCCACGATCCGGAAAGTCATCAACGTTTTTGACCTCGGAATAACGTTTCACCCACTTACTCACAAACGCCTTAGACTTCTTCATATACTTAGCAGCCGCTCCGCGCGACATTTTTGGTCCTTTCGGATGCGAACATAGAAACACAGCTTCGTAACGTGATGCGTACGCGGCACTCATGTTGAAATACGCCCTTTTGTGACGAAAGTCAAACGATAACTAAGGCTTTCTAGACAAAGCATCTTGGGAGAAGAGCCCCGCTATTGGCTCGCGTTCATATCCCCCCTCTAACGGTTTCGAGGAAAAAGTTTTGCCGTACACGCTCTTATCAAACATACTGTATATAGAGTATAAGGCCCGATCTACAATAGATGGAGTAAGGAGTAGCAGTAAGACGAAATGGAAATAATTTATTTCGCTTACTCCCTTATTCCAATAAAAGTTTGCTATGAGAAATTGGGGAGTAATGGCGTTGGGGTTTGAGCCGTAGCAGCGCTTCTAGCCAAATATTGAAGGAAAGAAGGAAGGAATAAAAGTTTGTCCGTTTATATCACATGGAGTCACCTTGAATTAAGTAATAAGAGCTGGAGTAAGGGAGTTAAGGCCTTTGCACATGGAAAAATTTTAAACGTAACCGTAAGGTCGTAAGAAAACTAACCAATCACAGTCGATTATTCTTCGAACGAAAGGAGAATAATCAACTCTGATTGGTCAGTTTTCTTACGACATTACGGTTATGGTTAAACTTTTTCTACGTGCAAAGGCTCTTACATGTATTAAAATAAAAGAAATTTGTAAAGTGTAACCTTTAAAAATAGTTACCGACTTTATTAACTTGAAAGTTAAATCTCCATCCAAATACAAACACACGTGTACGTGATACGTGCACGTGTACGTGTACACAAGAATATGGCTACGTTTACCCGACGATGTTAATCAGGTTTAGTAACTACCGTAGTTAGTAATTTCTTGAATTCAATTGGAGCATATTTCTAGATCTAAAAGAATATACCAATCGGATTTAATAGTTTACTAACTAACTAACTAACGGTACTTACTAAACCGAATTAACCTTGCCGTGTAAACGTAAACGTTGATTTAATCTAAATAACTTCGACGTTAAATCTGTGACAAGTTGAATTCAGAAATAGAAATTAAAACACCAACCTTTTTAACAACGGGATCATCCTCCATCTTTTTATTTTCTATTGCGTTAATTAAGTTTTTAAAATTTCATCAACTTATTTGAATGATTATACACAAGATATAAGGTGCGTTCGGGGAGCTCGCTATTAGCGCTATTCAACGCTTCCGTGTTCTCTGGTTCGGGCGGTCTCACGATTTTCGCACTAACACAATTTGTACATTTGACTATATAAGTATCCTGCCAGTTATCCCCACTTTTTTTATTCTCACAATGCTTTGTGTTTACGACGATTAGAGTTAGTTCCACTAGGAACGAAAATTATGATAGACACGACCATCTCGAAACAAATACAACCCGATGCATCCGATGCATAATTTAATCGTTCTGTATATCCAATTGCGGACATCAAGCTGCAGACTGCGTACATCTTAACCGTTCTTTAATTTAAATTGCAAGCAAAATCGTGCAATTGCTTGCAACTTTTAGCATCCCAATCCAAGCGGCTGCCGAAAAATTGTAGCCTGAGTTCCAAATGTGCAGAAACCTTAAGTACGAATACGGTTCTTTGATGTGCAGAAAGTAGTGCGTTTCTCAGACAGCACACAATATTTATGATAAATATTTATTTCGAATTATTTCTTAAAAATATTATATAAATATAATATAAATATTGGTAAATGTTCACTTTAGGGGAGTCACCTTTGATCATCTTAATCTTGACATATATTATAGAGGTCATCCTCCTGAATAAGCTTCAGAAGGTTTTAGCCGTCGCTCATTGTTTGTTAAAAAGTTATGAAAGAAGTTCGAAAAATATATTACAATTTTTCAATAATGTGTACCGTTAACGAGCAATATCGAATAATAACTGCAATATCGAACAACTAGCGGGGGGCTGCGCCCCCCGCACCCCCCCTCAAAAGTAACCTAACCCAACCTATCGTCACATTAACACAAAAGTTAAACACTTTAATAAACAATGACTGACGCTTAATGTGACGATAGGTTGGGTTAGGTTAGTTTTTAGGGGGGGTGTGGGGGGCGCAACCCCCCGCTAGTCGTTCGAGATTGCAGTAGTTACTAAAAAAAAGTTGAACGTAATTTTTGCACACAGGGTATATTGCACGGGTTTTGTTTTGATCGTATGTACGATTTCAATGTTGATAATCATGTTATGATCATGTCCTGACACACACTACCATTGTATGTTGTTGTGTTACGATAAATTTTTTGAAATTATGGCTCATTTCTATCCACTTAGCGGAAATTTTACTGAATAAATTTATTATAAATATTGAATAAATAATTTTTTCAATATAATTTATTTATCCTGTGCACTGTTTACCTTATCTTTATATGTGCAAAAATTACGATCAATTTCTAAAACATTTTTTGTTAATAACTTTTTAACAAACAACGAGCGACGGCTAAAACCTTCTGAAAATTACTCAGGAGGATGACCTCTATAATATATGTCAAGGTCAAGGAGATCAAAGGTGACTCCTCTAAAGTGAACATTTACCAATATTTTATACAATATTTATAGTAAACGAAAAATAAATATTTGTAGTAATATTTTGTAAATATATCTATTTACAAATATTATATATGAAAAAAAATAAATGTAATTATTTAAAATTATTAAATTAATAAAAAAATAAGAAATTCGAATCTCAGCAATGGTAAGCAAATTTTCAAAGTACAATTTCAAAATTCAATTAAGTAGCGTGTGAAACAATGTAATGGAAATTTTAAGAAAAATTCACGAAAAGAGAAAACCCAGCAAACACAGAACATAACTGTGATATAACACAGGAGTAACATGTAATATAACTGCTGTTATACATTATTAATATTGAGGTTACTTAATTTCCTTTATAACTTCGATATAACTATATTATAAAACTGTTATGTTATTATGTTATTTATTGGTTAAGTTACATCAACAATATAACAGCAACATAACTTTAATATAACATGTTATATAAGAAGTCTAATGTTTGCATTAAATTTCAGTTGTGCAATATTTTTATACACAAATATAAAATTATATTTTAGATGTTTCTCGTATATAAAATATGATATTTCATTTTATGCAAGGATCGCTATCACGATATTGTAAAACTAAAATTCTTACAAAGAGTCTAATCATAACCTTACTCTGTCAAAGTATTGTGAGAGAGAAAGAAGGAATATTCTCTCTTTTACGAGTTGTAGGTTAAAATTTGATTACTGATACAACATTGTATCAATATTAATCATATTGTGATTGTCGTGTCAAACATTTACCAACAAATATGTCATAACATTTTTTGAACGATATAAGAATATATTGTAAATAATGGGTGCGTTCAGGAGACACAACGGTTACACAACAGTTGAGTAATTAGTCAACGTAATTGGTCTAAAATTAGGGATCTAGCAGTAAGGACCAATAATCACTAACCGCTCACTGATCAGCTATGTTTTCTGAACACAGCCATTATCTATCAAGAGAGAGATATCGTTACGGCGCATCAGCATCACCAGTTCCCGGACGATCATTGAAGTTAAGCATTGAACAACATGATCTAAAAATGGGTCCCGCCTGATATAGGATCGAAACCACGCGAGTTTCACGAATAATTGAAATAATACGGAATATAAAATATCATTTTTTTTTTATTATTTAAACAAAATAATCATACATTATCACTTATCTGAACCATACTAATGAATAAATCGTTGGAATTCAACAAAAAAATATATGTGTTAATTTGCTAACAAATAACATATAACTTTTATATAACTTTTTAGTCACATGTTACTTTTATGTTATACTCACGTTATATAACT